ATGGCGGAACATTTAGTTCTCATTTTAGCCCTGTAAGAATGTGATGGCGCTGCAAACACTGGTAAACGAAGAACAATAGGAGTTTGTAACCCCTGGCGCAAACTTCAGAGGATATGTACGACAGGGAACGAAGATGGGTGGGTGAAGTCCCGGCTTACGTTTTTCCTCAACGTTTTTAACTCCTCGATGTTGCGACGTGGCGTCAAATGAATGCCAACCCCTTTGTCGTTCTGTTGTTTCTTATACTGCGATTATCCGTGCTCTTCCATGATCTTTTCTATCAATTCTATCGTCGTCGATTCCTCGAGTGTTACCAAAACGAGAATATTCGCGATATTCTCGGCAGCAGACGTGCCGGTCGCCGAAATTCGAAATCTCCAAGGATAGCCAAACGATGAGCCATCGTCCGAACGCCGATATGGATTTGTTGTTCTTCTCTTCTATAGACGAGGCCACGAAAGTATGGCTCGATACTCTGCATCGGATGTGGGCGCTTTGTAAGCATTTAATTTTATCTTCCTCACATCTCGTCGCATGCGTTAAACGTTAAACGTGCATTCGTATCAATCGCAGGGAAAAAGTGCGACGGCGTCAGCAAAACATTGACGGATTACTTCGAGACTGCACCAAATCCATATCTCAGCACATTGAGAATTCTTGTCAACGTCACGGATTTTGATCACATGACAAATAGCAAGTCACTTGCGTTTGCAGGTTTACTTTTTAACTATTTATAGCTTAATTTTATATAATATTTATTAATTGTAAAGCAATTGTAATTTATTATTAACCCTTTATTAAAACCCTCCGTCGACAATCTGGATCTTGTTAAAGCACAGTTAATTTTTTCGTCGTGAATTTTTAAGAGAATGAATATAGATAGTGAGATCTGATATCCCTAAAAGAATTTTTTTATCATAATAAAAACTAGTTAAAGATTTCACAAATATACATGAATTATTTTTCAGATTTTTATATATTTATAGATTTTTATAGTATAAAACAATAAAATCTTCTGCAAACTTTAAAGATCCATTTTTGGGAACTTAGATTGGAGTATGATATTGTCGACAGAGAGTTAATAATTTACCTAATATATAAGGAAAATTATATAATCATTTATATCAGGGAATATACATACTATATATTGATTTCTAATAACTTTGATACATATATTTGGAAAATAACAAAAAAGAAAACACAAACTACTCAAAATAAAATCAAAATAAGTCAGCATTCTTGTTTCTACATCTGTGTCAAAAGTAAGAAAGTTCCTTAATGTTGTTAATTTACAGAAATTATTTCCTGCAATAATTGATGTGATGACAATATTTTGAAATGTTATATAAGAGACAGCAATACAAATTTCTTTGAAATTATAGGCTTTCTATAGTTTCAATTGTATTATAGTGATGGAGGAGTTTTCAAATTGGATAGAAGACAGACAAGAAGGATACAAGGAATTTCTCGTTCCTGATTTGAAACTTGCAGCATTTAAATTAGTAAGACAGAAACATATGAAACAGATGCTGTTAATAGAAAAGATATCTGCCATATATAATTTTGTGGAGCATAAAGAGATATTTCTACAAACAATAAAGGTACGTTGACAGACATATGACGATCTATTTTATACTTATACTTTTATACTTATACTTTATTTTATACTTATACTTTTCCAGGATATGATACAAGAAAAAGAGTATAAAGAAGCTGCACAGTATGCAGCAATGTTACAATTGCAAAGTCATTTTATGGATCCAAAAATATTGTTACTACCCCTCATACTACAAAACAAATTGCAAATAGTTGACAAATTTTTAATAGGCTGCCCAGAGATTCAGAAAGCCTTGGCAACTTATTTAGACAACTTGATAGCACCAGGGAAAAGTGTGCAGATTATATTAGAAGAATTTGTTTAGTAAGTGACATTTATTTCTATTTTCAGCATCCAAAATTGATTTATTACCTAATTGAGATTTTCATTCGACTGAATCATTTCAGTATAAATGATATACCAGAAGTTAAGATATCGTTGACACAAGTTCGCCCAATAACCAAGCTTATTGCACGTCTAATGAAGGACTACAATTTATCACCTGATGTATGCCCTCATTTAAATACAAAACGAAACGAAGGAGCATTGCAATTCCTTATACATAAGCGCTATGTGGATGGTAGTTTAAGTAACTATCCATTTTTCTACATTAGAAAGATTAATCTTATTTAAAAATAAAAATTATGTATAGGTTTTTATATTTAATTGCTTTTATTACGTACAGATATTGCCAGTTGGAGAGAGATGGTAAAAGAAGCAGTAGGGATTGATGCCAAATTACAAACAGAGTTACTCACTATGTTAATTAATGCTGGTGATGCACAAGAAGGTTTATACTGGGCAAAAGAATATGAAATACCTAAAGATGAATGGCCATGGGCTATCGTACATATAGAAGAACAGAGTGCACAAAGTAATGCTTTTATCTATATCTTTACATTTGTATTTTGAGGAGTACTCATAATATTATAGTTTGCAGTGGTAAATGAAGGCGCTTCGACGAGTAAAGATGAAACTTGGATAGCGAATGATAATGTAAATTATCACGTATTAAAATTGCCAAGAGAAAATGTCAAATTAGTAGATGATAGACGGTTATTCGAAGAGTTCCTTGATAATGGATTGAGAGACATTAGTATGGTTGGAATTGATTTGGAGTGGAAACCTAGTTTTGGTAAGAATAATTAAAACCTGAACTTACATATGGATGAACTATAAAACATGATATATAATTTTAATGTAAAATAATTATGTTTTAATAGGTACCAAACAACCTGAATTAGCACTTATGCAAGTAGCTACTGAGAATAACGTCTATATTCTGGATGTAACTACTATTGGCAATCAATTACCTGAACTCTGGAATGAACTTGGTCTTATATTATTTGGAAATAAAGACATTGTCAAGATTGGTATGTGTTATTAGCCAAAATAATATTGTCTTATTATTTTAATTATATGCAATAAATATACATAAAACATTGAATATTTTACATTTATCTTTGAAATAGACAACTATGTTTAGTTATTTTATGATACAAATAACACATTTAATAACAAATTGTGCTATTAAAATTATATATTATTAATACTATTAATGTGTATATCATACAGGATTTGGTGTAGCACAAGATATGACTGTAATACGTAATAGTTTACCTGCCTTGTCGTCTCTTAAAACACATGGCCAAGGATACCTTGATTTGATGCTTTTGTGGAGGAAGTTAGTAGAAGAATACAACTTTATTTTTCCATACAAAGGTGATCCAAGTTTCACAAACAAAAGCTTAAGTAAACTTGTGGAATTGTGCTTCGGACATAGACTCAATAAGTCTGATCAGTTTTCAAATTGGGAGCTGAGACCCTTGAGAGAAAGTCAAATAGTATACGCTGGTTAGTAATCGCCTTTCTACTTATTTAACATAATTTGTTCCCGTTACTATATATGTATTTATTATGTGACAGCTCTAGATGCATATTGTTTGTTGGAAATATACAATGTACTAGCAGATTATTCAGCAGATATGGATATACCATTTGAAGATATTTGTGCTGAAATACAGCATATTTCGCACGCACATACAAAGACAAATACGAATAAATTTACAGATATGAAGGTATTAATTGCAACAAATGATATCAATATATGATTACACGTAATATAATAAAATACATTTTTTTTTTAGTAAAAATTAAAAAGCGGCTATCTTTTTCATTTAAAGATAAATTGGAAAACATTATCTTTATCATTAGTTATGTATCTTTATTCTTTTTTTTTGCTATATTATCAAAGCCCAGAATAATTGACTAATTTGACTAATTACATTGAAATACTTAAATATACACTGTATTTGTTTATCTTTTTGTACAGAAAAATAAATTTTTTTTTTAAATAAATGTATTGATTTAATTACTCCTTGTATTTAAAGACTATTACTGAGAAGTAAAATGATTAAATTAAATTAAATTCATTAAAGTAATCATTTTACAGAAACACATGTATTCGAATCCAACAATATTTAACAGAGACAATGAGGATCATATGGACGCAGGGGCTTCACCAAAATGCGGAACAGTACATAGGCCTACTTTCAAACCTGGATATTACAATAAACAAAATCAGGGTAGATACCGCGAACCAGCTAGTGGCAGTAAATATGATAATCATGATAACCATAACCGTGACAGAAATGCGCATATTAGAGCAGTTCGAGTAGTTAACGATCGAAGACACGATGATCAAAGAAGATACGATGAGAATCACGATAGTCATAATCGTGACAGAACTGCGCGCATTGGAGTAATACGAGTTAACGATGGAAGATACGATGACCAAAGAAGATTTGATAATCATGATAATCATAATCAGAATAAACACACAAACGCCAGAACGAATCCAACAGTCAACGGTAGATACGAAAACCAGAAGAGATTTGATTATCACAATAGATATGACACTCAGAATAAACGTGGTAATCAAGGTAGACGCGATAATTACAACAGATATGACAAGCAGGATAGGTGGGAAGATATTCAGGGTAGACGAAATACTCCAAATAGACAGAATAACGCGAGTAGACCCGAGTCCGTGCAACGACGACGAAATTTGGATTCAATCCCTGCACATTCATGGCGCGTTGTATGCGACTCGATGTTGGGTGGCTTAAGCAGCAAATTACGCATGTGTGGTATAGATTGCATACACGTATTATTTGATCAAGGAGGAGATGATTCCGCCAGATTGGCAATGCGCGAAAACAGGATCCTGTTGACGCGTAACAAGAGTTACGAAAGAGTAAGACCCACTTTATACATGTATCAACAGTTATAATATAGACATTATTTTAATAATTCTCTGTTAGTTTAAGCAGTACCTACCGTTGGAGAACTGCTACAGGATAATGACCGACACACCTGACAACCAGCTGCGAGAAGTTCTAAATCATTTTGGCGTTGTGGTAACGCAAAATGATATTTTCAGCCGATGCCAAATATGTAACTGCGATGAATTCGTGAAAGTTCCAAAGAAACTAATGGATGATCTTATGCAAAGGTAAATTTAATTAATTTATTTATTTACATATGTATGTACATACACATATCTTCCCTCTTTTTTTTCAATTTCATATAATAAAAACAATTTTATCTCGATTTAGCTTCGTGAAAATTATAAGAAAAAACAATTATCGAGTATTGCCTAATCAAACTGACAATACGTTCGAAGCCGATGCCGATTCAAATGATGATTTTGAAGTTGTTCAGAATCCAAGTAATTATTTTACAAATAGCGAACATCGTACATGGCGTTTATCCCTGGATACTCTTGACGTTGACTCGTGTACAACTAGATATCACATGCGAATACAACTCGATAAAGTCCCGCTAAACGTACTGAAGAATGTACAGACCTTTTATATCTGCGAGCATTGTGGGAAGATTTATTGGGACGGCTCGCACTTGGAGCGAGCTCTTAATGGTGTTATCAAAGATTTAATTGTTAAACAATAAGTATTAATATTAAATGTGATAAAAGGCGCGTGCTTGAAGAATTTACAAGGCACAGACAAACAAACAAAAATCAAATTCGTCCTCAGTTTGAAATTTCAAGTGCATGCTGATTGTTCCTACAATTTATAATGCCAATGATGCAATATTGTCACGCTTATTCAAAGCATCCGGCCACGGCCGGATGTTAATATTTGTGGCATAAACATATAGTCATATCGTTACATCGTTACTGTTCTTCCTTACATTTTTAAAATCTAATATAGTCTATTTTGTTCATTTTAACTATGTTAGATACAACAATGATGTCGTGAACTAGTGTAATCTGAATTTTGTTCCGACAAAATTGATTATTATATATTATGATTACGATGCTACAGATCAAGCCTGTCCAACTTTTAGCTCGCGAATTTAACGCTTCCACCTCTCCACTTGTTTTTTCTCTGTCTCATTGAGCGAGACAGACACAAAACAAAATGAATAAAAGCTAGAAAACGCACGGATTGCTCTAGCGTCTATTCTCTCTTTTTTTTGTTTTTGATTCAACGAGTCAACAAAAGTATTTAGTTCGCGAGCTAAGAATGCCATACATCTTTTCTTAAATGATTAATAATTACTAATAATAGTTATTATCTTAATATAAGTTGTTAACTAATCAATGTTTTAGCATTTAGATTTCTAATATTTTTAATATATTCGCTTTATAAAATGATGATTTTCAATATAGATTATTTAATCATTAAGGGCCATATACAAACATCTCAAGATGTAACTTCTATTACACGACTACATGTTTAACGTATATTTCTTGTGTAAGAGCGAATCAAATACAAGTACTTAAAAGTTATCTATCTTTGCTGCACATTTATAATCTTGCAATTATCTCTCTTAAATTCAAGAAACAAAAATACCCGTTAGAGTACAAGACAACGTTTAATTTTCTATAAAATATATCTTATTTATATATAATAGTATATATATATATATTTAAAGAAGAAAATACGTGTATCTATTTTTTATTGAAAAAATAATGAAGTACTAATGACCACGAGGGATTCTAGATTTAATAGTTTTTTAAATCTACATTTCCCATATTTTCCACCAAATACGTTGTAGCAAAACTTTATTTCTACCTAAATATAGAAATAAAAATATAGTTCTTCCATTTCCGTGTTTTTAATTCTTACCGCTACTTAAATTTGATTGTGAAGCATAGCAATGAAACGATGCACGATACATTTAAAAAAATATATATATTATATATATACATAAAACATAAAAAAGGTATTTTATCAAATTTACCAAAAAATCTTTTAATATATTCAATATATTTTATCATACTAGTCTTTATACAGAATATTAAATGTTCTGTTGCTGTTTTTAAATCTAAAAAAATGTTTAATTTCCTCACTCTGCTGGTTCTCTGTCTACCGATGGGGATTCTCTAGCTGGACCAGAATTTTCAAATTCTGCTGGTTCCACAAGTCGCTTCTTTCCATAAGGCGGCGGTCCAATTAATTTTTCTACATCGTCATACGACAATGTTTCCTTCTTCATTAGAGCTTCCGCAAGCTATGCTCGATAAAAATATTTTATATTTTATATGCAAATTCACATTGTTTTTGTATCGTTTAATTGTAATCCTAAGTGTATGTGTGCAAGGAAATATATACCGTATCTAATTTATCTTTGTTGTCCAAAAGCAACTTGCGAGTTCGCTCGTACGCTTCCCCTATTATTCTTCTTACTTCGGAGTCCATTAAATTGGCTAACCTTTTACTGTACAGTTTTTTATTTTTCTAAAAAAAAAAAAGAAATTAGACATGATGCTCTCAAGTGTACAATGATCAGGAAGAGCTCGCGGAAATATTAATTCGTACCGTGCTGGTATGTTCTTCGTCGAAAGAAAGTAAACCCACAGCTGGACTCATTCCGAATTGTTGAACCTGAAGATACGCCGTTTTTGTTACCGATTTCAAATCATTTTCGGCGCCCGTCGAGATTTTATCGAACGTCACGTGTTCCGCGACTCGACCACCTAACGTCATACACATCCGTTCAAAAAGCTGCTCCTTACTATAGAGCTTCTGATCGGATTGAGTGTATTGCGCAAATCCCAGTTTCAAGTTGGTTCGTGGCACTATCGTTACTTTGAGCAGGGCATCGGTATGCTCTAACAACCATCCTACCAGTGCATGACCGGCCTCGTGGTAGGCGACGACGCGTTTCGTGGACGGTGTCAACGGATTATTTCTCTTTGTCAAACCGCCAATCGTTCTGTCGATCGCGTATGTAAGGTCGCTGCTGTTTACTTGTTTCTTCTTATCCCTCGCAGCATGCAACGCGGCTTCGTTGCAAACATTTGCTATGTCAGCACCTGAAAACAATAGTTGTTTATGCAATAGTTGTTTAATAATAAAAAATGTGTGTAAAAGGTTGCTCTTTTTTTTATAGATAAATACGATACCACTAAAACCGGGTGTAAGATAAGCCAGGTATCCCGAGTATTTCGAAGGTTTGTCTTGTAGAGATATCTTTTTGAGATGAGTTTCGAAGATTTGCTGCCTCTCCTCTAACGTGGGAAGATCGATTAAAATGTGCCGATCGAATCTGCCCGGTCTCAGTAACGCTTTATCCAATACGTCTGCCCTATTTGTCGAGGCCAGTATAATAACATTTTCTTTCGCTATCATCCCGTCCATTTCCACTAAAAGTTGATTTAACGTTCGTTCTGACTCTCGATCGCCGACTCCGAGTGAGCTCTCTGAACGTTTTTTGCCAATCGCATCAATTTCATCGATGTATATAATACTTGGCGCTCTATGGAAAGTTGAAGCGCAAATATTAGATTGAAATAACATTTAAAAAATAAATTTAAAAAGCAATATACAAACCTCTTTTTAGCCTCTTTGAATAAATCTCTGACTCGAGCAGCACCTAAACCGCCGAATACCTCGATAAACTCGGAACCGTTCATAGACAGGAAAGGAACGCTCGCTTCAGTCGCCACAGCTTTAGCCAGTAACGTTTTACCGCACCCAGGAGGTCCCAAGAGTAAAACGCCTGAAAATAGGATTATATTTTTAGAATATCCAATTTTATGGCATTAGAATAATCTTATATTTATATACATATTTATAAGTGCGATATATTTGAGCATACTTGCCTTGCGGTATTTTTGCGCCTAACATCTTGTACCGTTCTGGGTTTTTTAGATAATCGACAAATTCCATCACTTCTATTTTAGCCTCCTTCAATCCAGCTACATCCGTAAAATGTACACCTTTACCCTTTCCCATTAACGGTTCGACTAGAGTAAATTTCGCCTGCTTCATCTGCGAGATGATCTCGAAAGGTTTGAAGGAGAAACGTTTTCTCACAAAATTAAAAGCAATAACGGCTACCAACGCAAAAAGTGCAAATTTAACGATACTCGCTATGTATTCGATCTTCCTTTCATAAATCACTTGTACTTCTTGACCTAAGATATTTCAGAGAGACAAAGATTTAATATTTCGAAGATTGTAAATTTGGCTGTGAAAGAATTGTGAATGGTGCTCATTGCTTGTCAATACTTTACAATGGCGATTTACTCACCAGCTTTTATGCCAAGCTTTTTTTCCACCTTCCTCAGTTTCTCTTCGAAATTTTCAATACTTGGAACAGACATGTGATATCTCTTGTACATGCTTCTTCTACCTTTAATAATGGCGCCGTCGTGCAGCACAATTATAACATGCTCAATAGTAGGATTTATAATAATCGCTTCGACTTCCCCTTTACTCAGCATGTCGTATACAAATTCATTCCAGGAGACTGAAGCTGCAGGCTATTTAAAGTAACGTAGTAATATCCTGACAGTAATACTTTATACTTCTTTAACAATCCTTACGGGTAAATAATGGCAAATTAATAAAAAACTTACTTCTGACGAATTTGACATTGCTATCTGGTGTTTCAGCGCAATTAGGATAAAGTATAATAACATAAACCACATGGAGAGCTTAGTAAGAACTGATTTCATGTGCTCGTTTTCGTCAGGCTTCTTGTCCGGATTTTCCGGGCCTGATTTCTTTGGTGATTGTTCATTGGCGTTGCTGCATGTGGTGTTAAAATATCTGACATTGTCAAATCTCGGAGAAAAGCTAAACTTCCCACTGCACAATAACGCCGATTGTACAGCATGAAATTCTTTACGAATCTTCTTGTAAGCCTAGAAATAAAATCCAATAAAATATTAGCAATACACTCAAGTAGAATATTGTAGCAGACATCGGCACCGATTGCATCTCCATTAAGCTTTGTGTTCCGTCAGCAGTTCTGCTGTGATGTAATCTCACAACAGATTTTCAGCAGAAAAAACAAAATATTTTCAAGTAAAATATATCATTTAAACGACTGCAAAATAATGGATTCTGTTCAGTTTCGATGGACAACCTGCTGTGAAATTATATCGGCAGGAAGTGCCGGCAAAATACGAGTTTATTGCGGAGACACAGATGATACCAGATATCGCATTATCTGAGCAAATCTGCTGCCAGTCTATTGTCGTACTGCATGCAATTTGCTTATTGTTAAACAGAAAATCGATTAACTAAAAAAATATGAAAAGTAAAGATAGAAATATAAAATTGGAGCAAAAGATCATAGAGCATGTTGATACTCACGTGATAAGTCATGGGAAGAGATAACCTGTGAGCTCCATTATTGTGCGCATAACTCAAGTGTTTAAATGGGCTAACGTTGAAAATGGGCTTTTTATTTGAAAAATAAATGCTTTTGGGTGGGAAATTGAATATCCGGCTTGGTGCCATGTAATATCGTTTCGGACACTTGGTTAGGTTCTGCATATCTCAATTACCATCAAAGCACTTCAAACGCAAAATCACAAATATACCCTTGCCTCATGTCATACGGGCTTTGTTTTATGTTACTAAACTTTTTGTTCCAATGCGGAAAGTGTATGTATACTGAATGTTCTTTTAAGCGAAAACGACATTATGAGATATATCTGCTCTCTGCGTACGGAAATATAATCAGTCATCAATGCATCATCTGAGGTTAGTGCAGGTTAGTGCAACAATGATAAATAGACGGAAGATTAAAAAATGTAATAAAATCTGCAATTCTTGGCGTAAAACATTAAATTAGTAATATTCTGGATTTATAAGAACGCAAACTATATGTAAAATTCCGTATCGCAAAAAGTAGAAAAAATTTTTTAAGTAAACAAAAATTTTTTTTTTTTTCGTGTAGAATTGATTTACATTGAAATGTTAATGGGTTAAAATATATACAATATCATTTGAAAATACAATATATCAATATAAAATACAAAATACAATATCATCTATTAAAATAATACAATATCATTTGATGATGAATACAATAACATTTGAAAAAAGAATGCACTTTTTTATAGCAGTCAATGTCGCAGATTTTATTTTATCTTTGGACGTCTTCGGTCAACATTCGGTGAACAAGAAGGATAAAATGATATAGGTATCTGTGGTAGTAACTGCATAAACGAATGCATTCTTTTTTTCAAATGATATGTGCATTAAAATTTGAATGTAAATCAATTCTAGCGAAAAAAATAATTTCTACTTGAAAAATTTTTCTACTTTTCAATTTTTCAACTGTCTTGTCCACAATACTAAAAATCGGTCCAAGTTCGCGGACCGGGAACTGTGTAGCCAATCAAATGGCTACACAGGCCTAAGTCCCGAAACACAATAGATAGTAAGCAAAGCCGTAAGAAATTGACCAATCGATCATAATCGATTATTCTCTTTCGACTGTTATGAATACGGTCTTATGTGAGTTCCAATTCCGTAACCTCTATCGAAGTTCCAGTGCAACAATAAGAAACAAATCTAAACAAGCGTATGTAAATTAAATTCGCAATATTTATATATCTCCTTTGTTTATTTGTTTTGACGTATTTTTAATAATTTCAATAATAGAAATCGTCGGGATCTGTGCTGAAAAACTGCCTTGATGATTCCAAATTTGTGCGCTGACATCATCGTGTCGTCGTCATTTATCCGCGCTTACTTTTGCGTGCAGGGCAGGGGTGTGGCGTAAAACGAGCCGTGGCCATCGTAAAATCTGCATTCGTTTTCATAAAAGGTCATGCCACGTTCGCTAAGATCGGATTGGCTGTCTCTGTTTAAGATCTGACAGGAATACGGATGTGTCAGTTACGTGACAATAGTATAGGTATATAGTGCTTCATTGCCGTTGTATTACTCGTTTATTTAATTTATTTAATGTTTACGTTTTTCACGAATTTCAACTCTTAAATTAACAGTTGATTGATTGAACAATTGAAAAATTGTAGTCGAGCAGTGATTGTTATTTTATGAGTATGGTTCAGGAGTATGGAGTTCCAAAATCTTATGTTTTATTATATAAAGATAAATGTTTAAACAAAATACGTTATAAAAGTTGATAAATAGAGCAAAGTAAAAAGATGGCTAATAAAATGAGATAAGATATAGAGAGAAATAAATGTCCACGGGAAACAAAAATACGTTACCAGAAGAGAGAGAGTGAGAATGAGATTGAAATAAATAATTTATGCAAAATTCTAATGAGAATTGGAATATTGGATTTGTTTTTTTTTTACAGTTAAACTAATGTAAATTCTCTACACTTGAAATAAGTAATGAAATTCCAGTGCAATAATAAAAAAAAAAAAAAACCTAACAAGTGTATATTAAATTCGCAATATTTATATATTTTTTCCTTTATTATTTGTTTTAACGCATTTTTTCATAATGTTCCAATAACAGAAATCGTCGTGTAAAGCAAATTGAGCGCAGCCGAGTAGAAAGAAGAGGTAGCTGAGAGTGTTTGTCGACGACAAAACGTAATTGTTCTCTTTCGTTAAAATATGCCAGGGTAAGCATCATCTCCTTGAGAAATGTTAATTTCTTTGCATAAACATTAATAGAAATCTGTCTCTTCTGTTTTCTTGATAAAAGACAATGTACATAATTGATGCGTTAACCTAATAACTGTTCAAATTTGTTGAATTAATATTATGATGTATTTATAACACTCTTCTATTTCTTGATAGAAGACAAAGAAAATGTATGTACATAATTGACACGATAACCGAATAACTATTTAAATTTGTGGAATTAATATTATGATGTATTTATAACACACTTCTATTATTTAATGGTTAATTTACCATAAACATTTTTAACATTTGTTACATACAGGGTTACAGAGATGTCGTTGGATCACATGTTTTGTTCCCGGTGCCGAGAAGGTTTCGTCGCGCATGAGAAAATTGTTAATTCAAACGGTGAATTGTGGCATCCGCAATGTTTTGTGTAAGTATGTACAGGATGACAAGTGGCCTGGATAGCCAAGTTTGTCAAGAGCAGATTTTGAAAGTGTCTGCTATAGAAATTTTGTTGATAGAATGCCAGTAGAAATATAACAGAATCTGCTAATAGAACATAATGGCACATTGATTGCAGAAACTGAGTAGAATCTGCAGTCATCCGTAATCATTTTAATGATGCATATGTTATGTCCTGAGGGGAGGGAATAAGTGAAAAAATATATAAGCGATGTTTGATTTGATAAAAGAAAAAAAAGGAAAAGGGAAGGGTTTGTTTTATTTGGGAGGTATAATCAGATTTTGTGAGATACACAAGAGGGTCGGTTGTGTATCTTAAACGAGGTGAAATTACAAAAACGAGCAAATTTACTAGATATTGGCTAATGAGATTAAAAATATTCTAGTGAATTTACTCACTTTTGTAATTTTCACCTTATTCCAAGATACACAATTGAGGGCCTGCGATCAAAATAGTCTCATAGAATCAAAATCTGAAGGAAATCATGGTGATTAAATCTGAAAACGAAAACACGAACTTGCAGCTAAATACAAGTAAATTATCAAAATACATGGTGCAAACAATTTCCTAAGACAGAATGACAGAATCCTGAGGGCTTCTTGATCTGTATACATACTAATAGTTTGGTGACAAACGAGAAAGAAAAGCTGAATTTCACAGGAAAATAGTGCAATAATCCATATACTGACATCTAAATATACATCCATATACTGACTTTTAAATTAATAAAATACATTAACATGAAACTTGTATGCATCTAATGTATTTTGTTCTCGTTCTCATTTTCCAATCACGTGCATTCTAATTAAAGGGAGCAAAGCAATTAGCAATCTAAGTTGATTATTTTTTTCACCTGTTCTTCACTATAGGTACACTATTTCTAATTCCATGGAATTCCATTGTGCAAGCTTCCGAGCTGTTTTTAGAATCGCTCTCCGTCTACACATAATCGAGCAATGCTATGTTGTGTAAATTTCACCAAATTTATTAAATCTTGTAATTTCGCTAATATGAAATGTTTAATCAAATGTTTTTACTTATGCACTACGTAATTTCTTTTTGGACACGCTGATGTGTCCGCAAACATTCTTGGCTTTTTAGACTTTACCGTTCGTGTTTTTAGTTACAATTATAACGGGCGGCGCAAATGGGAAATTATTAAGTGCCGGATGTAACAATTCCATTTTAATGTTTACGGAATAAGGTAAACATATTCTATTCTGCAATTTCTGCCGACAATCTGCTGTCAGATTATATAGGCAGACTCTAGCAAGATCCAATGCAAACATATAGATGATACCGAATCCGTGCATATGTATTAATTGCAATATCTGAGCAATTTTACTAATTTGTTATCGTACTTCGGGTAGGATTTGCTTATGGGAAGTTGCAAAAACAGAATATATAGCGTAATAACTTGTTAAACAAAAATAAATTAAATACTATACTGCAGAAAAAACCCATCATTTTTATTTAGCACATTAATACGAAGAAAGAATAATGAATTTATATAAATAGATATAATATAAAAAAATTCAGCTAATTTCATGATTCAGTTATATGCTTAGTGATATATTTTCAGAACGATGATTATCTGAATTCACGTAATCGAGGTATTTTTGAAAACTATTAAATGCAGTTTTTACAACATTACATTAATAATTGTAACTTTGAATAATTCGAAGTAATTTCTTTTATAAAAATAACTGCCTATGGCGAAATCTGAAAATGTATATTATTGAACCATACCAAGTTTTTGATCTTTTATTAATATTTATTTTATTAGCAAAATGTATATATTCTTTTTACACTGTGTTAGTATAAATAATATAAATAAGCCTAGATATTTTTAAATAGTTTTCTTTTATGGAATAGTGTTTAATTTATTTGCCATTTTACTACACAATTTGTAATTTCATTTACTTCATTCGTCACTATTATTTAAGACTTGGGTTACGAAATAATTAAGTATTTAATTTTAGCAATTTTGCGTACATGTGCTATTCTACGTACCGTTTTCTATCGGATTCAATTTTCACAAATTCCATAACACTCTTGGAGAAGTTTTTTTTTACAAGATATACTCTCCAAACTGTTTTTTTTTCACTATTTTCTGTAAAAAAAAATAGCTATAATAATTTATTATTTTATGAATTTTAGACTTACATGAGTTAATATCATTTTGATAGGTGCGCACAATGCTTCCGACCGTTTCCAGATGGGATCTTCTACGAATTTGAGGGATACAAGTACTGCGAGCATGACTTTCATGTTCTGTTTGCACCATGCTGTGGCAAGTGTGGTAAGTTAAATTCTGTTAATTGCGTTTAAGTATTAGTGTTAATTCTAATCGAATATGAGGTAACATTTTAACGTAATTTAACTATCATCTTATAATAGGCGAGTTCGTTATTGGCCGCGTGATTAAGGCAATGAATTCGAACTGGCATCCGCAATGCTTCCGCTGCGAAGAGTGTAATGGTGAATTAGCGGATGCAGGTTTCATCAAGTGCCAAGGCAGAGCCTTATGCCACACGTGCAATGCCAATGTGAAAGCTGGTGTACTTGGAAAACATATATGTCATCAATGCCAGTATGTTTTTATTATTGCAAATGAAAGATGTATGCTTGGTAGCATAAATAGTATGCATTGAAATCCAAATGTTTAATTACTACAATGCTTGAAATGAAGCTTAAGCGATTTTTTTTTTATTTTATGCTGAAAAATTAGATTCTCACTCACAGTTTCTTAATGAAGATAAATTTAAAAAAAAAAAAAGTCTAAAGAATGTAAAAAACTTATAATTTACGTAATGGAAGAACATTTGTCTGAATATTTTAATTAATATTGTTTTGAAAATTTTCCAGCGGAGTAATAGATGACAAACCTTTACGATTCCGCGGTGAACTGTATCACCCATACCACTTCAATTGCACAACTTGCGGTGTGGAACTAAATTCCGAAGCCAGAGAAGTCCGATCTCGACCTGGTTATGCTGCCAATGAAATGGTAAGATTATGACTTTTTCAACTAACTTTTTACAATACGAATCAGAGATGTCATTATTTAAGACACAGATCTTATAAGAAATTAGTGTTTCTAAAAGAAAATATAAATGCTTTCACACGTCATTGTGAACGAAATATAACGTTTTAAATGGTAATATTTTACTTAAACAGTAAATATTTTAACAGTTTTAGATGATTTATAAAATAACGAATATTTGTTTTCTACTTTCAAATGTGAGAAACTATATGTATGTACAAAGACGTTTTTACAATCATCTGATGACCATTCAGTTTTAATAAGAATTTATTTTATGTTACGTAGAACGAGCTATATTGTTTGCGGTGCCACGATAAAATGGGTATTCCGATTTGTGGCGCCTGCCGGCGTCCCATCGAAGAACGCGTGGTAACGGCGCTCGGCAAGCATTGGCATGTGGAGCATTTCGTATGTGCTAAATGCGAGAAGCCTTTCCTCGGTCATCGCCATTACGAGAAAAAAGGTCTCGCTTATTGCGAGATTCATTATCATCAATTGTTTGGGAATCTCTGCTTTGTCTGTAATCAGGTTATCTCTGGAGATGGTACGTACCAAATATATATTAATGATGTAATTAATTCAGACAATCCATTTTGTTTTCTCAAATTTTTGCTTTTTTCATTCTTTTTGATTCTTAAACTAACGTTTTTCTTCTTTAGCTTATGTAACGAACTGCAATTCTTAAGATTCCTTAAGATTCTTAAAATCTATAAAGTTTCACTGTAATCATATTGATCTATAATGTCAGAAGCGAAAAATTGTATAAATCTTTTCTGCGAGCATTGACTTTTTTTAATTGATATTTGTTTAATTTTATTTAATATTTGTCTTTTAGTCTTTACGGCGTTGAACAAAGCATGGTGCGTCCATCACTTTGCGTGCGCATTCTGTGACCAGAAGATGAATCAGAAGACAAAATTCTTCGAGTTTGATCTAAAACCCGCGTGCAAGAAATGTTATGATAAGTTTCCGCAAGAATTGAAAAAGCGGATGCGACGTATGTACGATCTGAATCCTAAGAGGGTCCCACCAGCGTAAACACAACACTGGGCTCTTTTGTGTGACTCTTTCAAGATTAATCAATATTCAGTTGCGCTTATAGTGCCTTATCTGACATAAAAAAAAGTATTTTTAATTTGTTGCATTATAAGCTACTTGTAGGATCTACCAAAGCTACTCTTTTGTCAATTGCAAGTTGACATAATCGCTATAACTATTTTTTAATATAACTTTATGATCGAAAAGCCGAAAAGCTAGTGGAAATGTCTTTTCGGTTCAAAATATCTTCCAAAATTTGACATCTATGAACGATACGGGGATATAGTGCAATAGTTCTGTATACATTTTGTATATGTCAGACATAACATTAATTTACATTTTATATATAAACATATAATCTGTGGCGCAACAAGCTATGATTTTTATTAAAAATTGTATAATATATAGGATATATATCAGTTTTTAAATTTGCTACATTACTGCCAATTTACTTTATAAGTTCTGGTATCTAAAAAAAAATAACAATTTTTATTATATAAATATATGTAATAACAAATATCTATGTACATGAAATCGCATATATATATATATATATTTTTTAATTGTATATGTTAAGTGTAATATACTTTTAATTAAGATTTGAGTTTTCTCAAGAAGTTGGTAACAAAATACAAGATGAACAATAGGATGTGTCTAACAGAAAAAAAATACGCAATAAAAACAGCATTTAATGGAAGTAATGAAGTTTTATTTACAAATCAAGGCATTAATTTTATATTCATATGTGTGCTCCTTGCTGTCTACTCTCACTCATGTTAAAATCTTTAACCCGTTCAAGGTCATAAAAATTATGAAAAAATAATCACTTTTTGCAAGTTTTACTTTTCTTTTTCGTCACGTTACCTTTAATTGTTTCATTTATATCAAGTGTACTTATTTCCGCAAATAGTGTCGACTCCCATCCATCGAGGAGTAATCCTTGCACTTTACACTTCCATTTAATCATAGAATACTAATAATACATAATAAAAAAATAGCATTTAAGTTTAGCAGTTTTTCTTTTCTTTCTTTTTTGTTTTCTTTACCCATTAAAATAGCATGGTTTATTTATAATAAAAGTTTATTTTTCTCATTTTGGTATTTTTTTTTTTAGGAAAAATCTCAACATACGTAAATTTAACGTATGATTAGTATTAATGCCTTAAAAGTAAGATTAGTATTCTAAGGTTAACGCTGCGTTTAGTGCTAAATGTGGTCAATTGATCCTGAACTTTAAAGCGGTATAATAATCGATTCTCGGCTATGTATATAGTTTGATGACGTCAGAGAGACAAGGGAATCTTTCATAGAATTCCCCTGTGATGACCTATGCTCTTATAAAAGCACATAAAATCATGACGATCTGAAGGGCAAAAGATTTAAAAGATAAAATCAAAAATTACAAGATCAAATGAATGAGAGATACTTTTTATCAGATTGAATGATACATAGTGTGGCCTACTATTTTATTATATTAATTTAGGATACTTTTTATAGGATTTTATAAGATTTTGGAAACTAGAAGTTTCTCGGTAAGATGATATTCTCGTTCGAAGAGTCATTGATGCAATAATATTAACTTTTTCTGCTTATTCAAGCAAATTCTATAGTCATAAAAAAAGTTACAAATTGATTGACCAATCCTATCGATTAATCAAAGTTTATAGCTGTACAAATAATTATGCTCCAATATTTATACTTGACTTGGAAATTACTTCTATAATTATTTGTATATTTATGTACAAGTAATTATACTTGATAGAATTTATTTGTATAAATTAATCCGATATAATTATTTGTACTACAAAATTCGATTTGTCTCAGAACCGCGCCTCAAACTCGTCCTGGCCATTAATTTGTAACTGTATTTATATGTTAACAAGTAAAACAAGGTATAATTTATTTAATATAAAATAAAATATTCCAAATATTAATGTCAAATCTATATATTATTCTATATATTTATTATTCGTCAAACTAATAAATGCCGTACGTTAATCAGCTATAAAAAAAACTTTCGTCCAACTGGTTTTTCCGTAATTTTACAATGAAGGGTAAAAAAATAAAAATGTTTTTCAAAAATAATAAGGCTTTCGACACTATTCTAAGTCTCTTCTTTCATGATTGTACATGCTTTTGTAAGATTGTTTCGATAGATCTCCTTCTAAAGTCACAAAACGTAAACCGCTGTCGTATCACCTTAACTGCGGTGATACAAAGATCACAATCGACGCGATCGTGGATCCTGGACCAGTCGCATTTAGCGCTAGATGTGCGGTGCGAATAACAACTCTTTCTTTGCAAGCAAGCCTGGGTTCGCAAATCCGCGATCGCGGAAATAATAATCGCCGAATATATCGACCGCTCGCTAAAACTCTACGTTATAATTTCTCTAATTGCCCGATAACAATGGTCGCGATCCCACGTGTATAACGGAGGCTGAAGCGTGGCCAACCACATTTAGCGCTAATTGCGCAACGAGAATACGTGCCAGTGGTTTCGAAAAGCCTATATTCACATTGCGGTTCGGCGCCGCTGATCCCAACGCGACTATCCGATTCTGCGAGTTTTATTTCCATTTCGGTGGAGGAGGGAGAGGAGGAGGGATATATATATATATACATATATAGACGCATGTACATATATAATCGCAAGATTCTATTCTGGGGATATAATCAGATAGCCGCATTTCGTGCCAAAGCGCCATCAATGTGAACACAGGACCATGCTACTTTATTGCGATGAAAGGCGACGCGGGCCTTCAACGGGTTAACAATAAATCATGAAGAAAAAAAGAAATCTTTATACAATTCGCGCAATAATGATAATAATAATACAATTGTTCCTAATTTTATACGGCGCGCAAAAGCCGCGCGTCCTCGCTCATCTTCCTCTTTTTATTTCGCGTTTTCCTTTTGTTAAGAAATTTCCTCGGAACTCTGTGTATATAAAAAGTCTCGGCTCAACTTGAATTCGCGGCACGGCGGCCGTCGCTCGGCGAAAGCCTCGAACGCTATTATTTTTTTTTCTTTTCTTTTTACACACATGCACATACACACGATACATACAAACATACACTCATCTCATACACACATATACACACACGCGCGTGCGCGCGCGCATATTTTCTGCTTCTGCCGTTTTTTTAGATGTGTATATATGTATTATATGCTTGAATAAGTGTGTATACTCAATCAATTATTTTTTTTAAATAATGGTTATACAAATTTTTAAATCTTAATAATGACTTAAGCAAAATTTTTAAAATATTTTTAATTTAACAATTTTTTTTATGCAATAATAGAATTAAAATTAAAAAACTATATAATATATATATATATATATATTTTTTATTACATTTTAATTATTTTTATTAATTTTATATATATATATATATATATATTTGTATTACAGTTTGTAACATATCTTATGGCAAATTCAATAAAGTGTGATTTTCAATAGTCGTTCATAAGATATTGTCTTGGGGTGTTTTTAGTTCTAAAAAACAAAATAACTCATTAAAAAAAAGTTAAAACAAAATAATTTAAACTTTTAAGTCATTATATAAATCTCCTTAAACAAAATAATATTATTCAAAAAATTTTTTGTAACTATTTAAAAAAATAATGAGTGTACATACTTAAACCACACTATATACATATATACACACATCATACATATAGACATATTACAGAAAAAAGTTTTATATATGTATATAAAACTTTTTTTATACATTTGTCGCTTCATTATGCGTAGCAAGGCGGTCCGAAATCATGATTGCGATTTCAAGAGGGAGAACATTATTGGCAACGCTATCTCACTTGCGTTTCTCCTTGCTTCAACTATATCGAGATATCACGTGTTTGCGTACGAAACGTCAGATTTTTAAATCCGCAAATATAAAAAGACCTCCAGCGTATATATGTATCTCTTGCAAAATAAATAAATAAAATGGACACTTGAATTGCACGGCCTTGTATAAACTGTACATATTTCTTGCGTAGCTTTGTTTCCGATTGCATTTTATCTTATTAATAATATAATCTATATCTTTCTAACTTCTCGCCAAACTCCTCGAGATCGTATCGATAAAAAGTAAAAATGGACTTTTCATACGCAATAACGTAATAATAATGCTGTGCTGTAGCTAAAATGCTTCAAGATCCTTGAATCCTTAGATTCTTCTTTGCGTTTGTGATAATTTTGATCTATGCATCTGTGCATCCGTGAATTCCTAGATTCTACATAGCTTCAAATCCTTGGATCTTTAATTCTTTGGAATTCTAGCCCGACCAATTCATAAACTGCTTAATCTTTCAACCCTATAATTCTTAGATCTCCGAACGCCCCTAGACACATTTTTGATTTCTTTACAGCTGATTTATTTACGATTCCTGATTTTTTGACAGCTTTCAATCCTTCTGATATCTTAAAGATAGAATTCTTTTTTAATCGTCCCATCCACGATCCTTAGTTTCTAGATCATAGATTACTACGCTAACGTGAATTTTTTTTTAAGTATCACAAAACACAGTGTTGGATCATTGCACGCTTAAATATATATTGATAGGATTCATGGACTTTTACATCCTTACAGTCTCGAATTTTAGAATAATCGATTTCGATCCTGTTCTCGTCGACTCATTCTCTGCTGGACAGAGAAATCCATGGATTTTGTAATGTTCCTCTAATGTTCAACTTTTTGGATACTTAGATCTATGGATTCTCGGATCCTTGGATCGTGCACAGATTTGTCCCGGAACAGATGGTATGACGATCGTAACGGAGTCGTTTTGATGGGCGTTATTACAAAGCTAAATATTACGATACGCGTTCGCGCATAATAACGTTTACAAGAAACATCGGCACACTTACTAAGTACAGAAGGATGGAAGAATTGGAAGCCACATCAAAAATCTCGTCGTTAATTCTCTTCCTTACTTTAAGTAAAAATGATAATCCGAACGATCGGATATCTCAGAGCTATCATTAAATCGATAGAAATTAATAATATTCCAAAAATACAGGGTAGTCCAAAAATCCTGTTGCAGTTGCGCGCAGTTGGAGGAAGACTTATTTTCTGATAAAAAAAAATATCTTGTACAGATAGCTTTGATTTTTTTTTCAAAGCATAGTTTCACATATACAAATAATCTCTAATATATAAATTTTCTCATTAATCATACAATCATATACGAGTAAATCAAGTTTATCATTCTTTTTCATGTATATCTCAGATCTATTAGGGCTGCATCCTATTTAACGGTCGCAATACTTGTTTAACATTTGATAAACAACAAAGATGAAATAATTCCAAGAGCGTTGCGAGCGTTAAATGAAACGCGCCCTAGGTCTATTTTCAAAGATTAAAAATAACATGATTTTCAGTCATATCAATATTGTTTTTAAATATGTAGTCCATAATTCTGAGAAAAATAAATCCTTACAATTTTATATCAATTAAAAATTTTCGTCTTCGCATCCGAATTGCTCATATCGAAGCTCATATTACTTTTTTATCAGTTAATAATTTATTATGTATATCTTCGATTTTCGATCCACCCTGTATTCAAACGAAGGAGAAAAAAATAAAACAGCAGACGCAGCCGAGTTTGTTATAAGCTGATATTGATAATCAATATACTCATTGAATGTATATCGATAATAATGCCGTCATTCCAATGCAAGAGTTTAAAAAATTTGCTATTTTAACTAGAATTGTGATTTGGGGAAATATTTTTTGATTAGTCAGTCCAAGCGCCATTTCACAGCAGCAAGATGCAGAACATTTTTAACTTTTTTTGCACTTGAGTGACGACATCAGTGTCGATACTTACAATAATTATTATTAATACAATAATAATAATAATAATATTAACAGAAGTAAAAGCACGAATAACAATTTGAATTGATTATGATAGTACAATGCATTTTGTACATTATGTTCGATCAAGCAGCTGTGATTGTTTACGAATTACGCATTAGTAAGTATATGCACATACGCGTAAGGATATACTGCTGCTTATCTATGCCCTTCACATGGGCTACTATCTAAATTATTCTAATTTGTTAATGACATCATCGTGCAATTCGTTTCATTGGAGCAAGAAAATTGCAAATTGTTAAATTCGTAAAAATATTTTAAAACATCTTTTTCCTACATATAATACAGTTTGTTTCCGAAATAAGAGTTAAAATGAATTATAAAATTTAGAAAGGAATGCTAATCAGAATATTAATGTTCTTTTTTAACAGAATGCAGAAGATTAATGTAAGATTAAAATTCAATATTACGACGTGAATTTTTTTCTTTATCCAATTCCTTTAACTTCCCTGATATATTTCGCGCAGATTGGCAGTCATATGTCTGATAATTCAAATTGGCAGTTGTTAGTAGTAAGATGGAAGTAAGAGTAGCAAGTTCATTATTTTAAAAAATTACGAAATTATTTAATATTTAAGTAACAAATGTTCATTTTGTATGAATACATATGCAATGTGTGCATATGCGCGCGCATGCATGTACATACACACGTATATATATTTGTATATTAAATAATATGTATTGAAAATATATTGAATATATTATATGTTAAAATAAATATACAAATACACATATATATACATACATATATATATATATATATATATATATATATATATTCAATTGGTTATATACACATTCAAATTCATAATAACAAAAATGCCTGAATTATAATTCTTACGAAAATTCATTTAATTCCAAATTGCTAAATCAATTGTCATCTTTTTGCTCCAAAAAAAACGAATATTCCAATATATATGACGTACTTCATAGTTTGGAGGGAAATAATGATATGCATTGGCCCAGCTTTCAGTTTATCAATATTGGCAACAATATGTGGTTTATGATTATTCTCGATTAATTAATCCTCTCTTCTTTTCTCTCAGTAAAAAAATGTATTGATGTAAACTCTTTAAGCTTTCTGCAAATCAATTAATTAATATTCTCAATATAATTTCTCAATAAATTTAATTAATTCTCAAAAATTCCGTAATTTTTATTATTAAATTCTCTTTTTGGTAAATATAAAAAAAACTATTTGCTGCTGGATAATAGCAAAAAATTAATATATTCAAAGATACAATTAAAATATTTTATTCCAATAAATATATATCGGAAAAAAGTACAATAATTTATTTAATAATAAACTGGTAAAAATAAAAATGGAAATATTCATAGATATTTCTCAATGTTGATAAAAAATAATAGTACGTACCCTGTAAAATTTCAATGTCACCGTTTTAAATGCCACATGCAGAGCGTTCTATAAAAGGTGTGTACCAGCAGCAGGAAATACTTGATGCAATACTCATATGTAACATTAATAAAATGCTTAATTTGTACATATTTTTCAAAAGCCATGATTTTAGTGGATGCTTTACAAATATTAGTGATATATTAAATAATGGCGATTAAATAATTTCATCGATGTATAGATTTTACAATAACATCTTGTTAAAATATCGATTTCCGTGGAGTAAAAGACGTTAAAGAAATCACATTTTTAATCAAGCGATTTATGAAACTCTTTATAAAAGACTCTATGAAAAAATGAAAATTTAATAAAATACGCGGAAAATTGGTACTCCTACTCGTCGGCAGTGTAAAGCGAATAGTATTCTACTGTTGACAATCTATTCTTATAAACTTGAGCCTCTTAATTATATTCTCAAAATATTTTTAAAAAAAATTTGTTGGATTTTATTGAGATCAAATTTATTTAAAGCTTTTTCAAAGCTTCTTAATCAGTTGAAGGAACAAGACATAAAACATTTTAATTTTTTTATAACAAATTTTCCAATTTCTAATTTTGTGTGGTATTTCTTAAAAATTTTATAATCCTAGATTATATTTAACATTTTATTTTTCTTAAATGTTTGTAGATATTAGTATTTGTGAATCTTTGAGATTGGTGTCTTGATTTTTATATCCACGCATTTTAAAAGCTATATCTCGGTACTAAATTTTAAAATACTTTGGATTTTTTAACTTTATTTTAAAAAATTAAAATAACAGTTAAAATAATATTTTCGATTTTAAATTTTTAACAAATAAAAAATATATATATTTCAAATTCTACCTGCTACTGTTACACTCCTTTTTTTTTCCAACGTGTTCTGTAAGTTGGGTCAGAAGCATTCATAAACGTAATCGGAGCATTGATGTCTTCTCTGTAGCCGAATCTAAGTAAACAAAGTTTGCAGTGTCTTGGCTCGAATAGAAAAACTACACGGCAACAACAGCATGGCCCATCAAACGACTCGGAGCAATCTCTCTTCTCTTTCCTCTCTTCGTACTTTCGTTCTTTCCTTTTTATTCCTATAACTTTACATTTTTCCAATATACAATCACCACGGGCAATCACTCATCGCTCTCTTCTCTGGCGATCAACTTTTCTGTAATAAGCAGTTTCTGCTTAACGGAGATTCCTGGTTCCATCCTTCACTATGCTCTTTTGTCGAGTACAGACAGTATTTTCAGTCTGCCCATGGGGACAGGGTCGATATAGTTCGTCGTTTTTGACGCTTGGTGCAAAATGGAAGAACACTCGCGCTTCGAAGCTGACTCAGTCTTCGTTGCGTTGCTCACCAGGAAGAAGGATATCAGCAGCTCTGACTATGTCGACTTAAATGATGCGCTTTCGAGATATAAGACATTTGGCTCCGCTGATCGGAGCGGTTTTTTCCAAAGATCAACGAGGGGGGGCACTTCGAGGTCCTTCGCCACATAGCGAGTGGGTCACATGGAGCAGTCCCCTCAGAATCCTCCGGAAGGTGCATTGAGCGACAAGACTGGCTGTGTTGCCAGGATTCAGGTGGGGCTAGGAAGCAGCCATCGAAATTGAAGTCGGCAGGCTCTGATTGCTCTGCACCGCGTGCGCAGGTATCTGATTGTAAGGATGATTGCTATTACACAACACCGTGTAGATGTTTTCCACATTGCTGAGCTTCTCAAAGAAAGGAATTAGATCCAGTAGCTCGGAGTCCGTCATGTCATCGAACCAAGATGCCACTGGAACCTGCAAAAGAATTTACATCATCCTTATTATTGATCATCCAAAGCTCATGGTGCCTCAGTATCTCATTTAATGTCACATTTAATTCGATTACGAAGATAAAAGCAACGATACATAATTAAATTTCATTTAACACCGTAATAAATTAATCTTTTATACATATCATCATAGATAACTTACCGCATTATCTGGATGGAAAATGTAACTGGCAGGACTATTATCTACAATAATTATCTGCTGCAAATCCCGACCTAATTTGTTCAAATCCTTAACATAGTTTCCTCTGTGGAACACACAGGATTCTCTAAATAACCGCGCTCTAAATACACCCCATCGATCTAACAGATCTGCCACTGGGTCTGCATACTGTAAAATGTTATAAATGTTAATTAAATGATTTCTAAAATCTTTTATTTTTTTGTTTTAAAGTCTCATTATAAGTGAGCTCTATGAATTTTTGTTTTAACAAATGCTATTAAGAAAATTTTTATAGCAAAGCTATTTTCTAATAATGATTATCTCTAAAGACAAATTAATTCTTCATCTAACAAGATAATTTTTGTGTAGGATATACAACAATATGAATAATCGAATAATACAATTTATATACTATATAGAATGTTTTAAATCTATTGCACCTATGATTATATCTTTGGCTAATAAATTTATGACAAACTAAATATTATATAAACGAATAATGAAACGTTATACAGACAATCAATTATCGCAAGAACATTCTTAATTACACTGATTATGAAATAATCCAATTAAAAACTTTCATTTATTAGGAGCACAATTATTATTTCTTTTTCTTTTTACTATTTCTTTACATTTATAAACTTACCTTAGCCAAACTTGCAGTGAACAATACACATTCATATAATTCACCCATTCTCTGCAAAAACTCGTCCACATAAGGCCTCTTTAAGACGTACACTTGATGTACCGTTCCGTCAATCTCTACAGGAACAACAAAGTCCGCATTGTTGATCGGTTTGAAAGAACTATGCACCAGGGTCTCGTCCAAGTCGATTACCATGCACTTTTTGTGCATATCTTGGTGCCTAACTGGTGGAAGGAGGAATCTCGGGGATCCGGTGCCGGGCGGTGGCGAGCCACGGCCATCGCCCTGCAAAGAACTCGCCTTGGAGCTCTTTGAACTGCCGCCACGGCCTCTTCCGAAGCAGCAGAGCAGCGAGCGCAAGAGCCCACGTCCCCTCGGCTTCTTGCCACTCGACGAAGTATTGTTGGCTGCTTCATTCTCTCGAGGTAACTGGGCTGCAGTAGAGAAAGAAGATATGACAATCAATTACATCACATATATCAATTGACATTGTTACGAATATTAGAAAAATTGGATTGCGAGAAAAATTTAGGTTCGCATAATGTAAATTATACTGAAGTCACATATATTCTGAACAAACTTTTGACCAGATGCTGCTACATCTCGCGCTTGTTGCACGTATGGAATATACATTGGGACAAATAAGTTGGTGAAACTTGTTAATACTTGTGAGTTAAGTTTTAGAAAGTGACGCAACGTTAAATTTTTATAGACTGACTTGTTAAAAAGATACATACATATTTCTACAATGTCTTTTTCTGTACACACACACACACACACATATATATATATACATATATATATACGTTGACATATTTTCTCAAGTTTCACCGACAAAAAAGCATACCGATGTCAGACTAGATATTTAGACTCCACCTTATAAAAGCTCAATTGGTGACATTGTCAAACCGAAAAGTTACGTCTACGTCAAAATAAGCAATTGCATCTTGCGCATATGTACAATCAGGGAAGTAACGTGCTGCATTTAACCTTTTATAGCGCGCTTTTTTTTTTGCTGTCTTCTTTACGGCTTGCCCTTAGAGAGCGCCTTTCATGAACGAGCGCGTGAAAGGTTAAAGGGCATGGCATGAGCGTAAGAAAATAAGGAAATTCGTGACATCGCTCGGAGGCTGCGCGACGCAGAATGACATTAGGCAAAACCCTGACTGACGGGGACACCGAAAGGGATGGCAATACGGATGAGGGAGTAACAGCGGGAAAGGGGGGAGGGAGGGACCGGGGAACGTTAAGCACGGGGAGACACGCGAGAGAAGTTGCTCGCGTACGGAGAACGATAGGCGATGAGACGTGACGAGGAGGATGAAGTTAGGCAAACGACAGGGCGAGGAGAGAAACGCGAACGCGGAGGTACCGTAACAGGTGCACAGCAGGGGAATGAAATCCCGGCGCAGCATCTGGCGGCGGAGAGCCAGGCCGCGGGGGGGAGGACGGGGATGGAGCGCGGATCCATTTACGCGATACGCACCTTTCTCGTTGTTGAACGCACCTAACTCGTCATCCCGCGACACTTGGGTGATAATGGACGATGCGTCCATTTAAACATTAGTCGGTGGTCCCTGCGTGCTCGATCGCGAATTCCGTTAACGCGCGCGCGCGCGCGCCAGCCGACGGGACGGGGCGGGCGGGCGAGCGGGCGGGCGAGTACGAGCGAGCGAGTACGAGCGAGCGAGTGCGAACGCGAGCGAGCGCGAGAACGAGCGCGAGCGAGCGAGCGAGCGAGCGAGCGAACAGGCGCGCACGAGACACGGAAAGCGCGACGGCCCCGCGCGCGCGCGCGCGCGAGAGATGAGGGGACGAGTGCAAGCGAGACGGAGCCGCTGCTCCGCCGTCGTACGTCGCGAGCGAGCGCCGTGAGGATCGGAGCGCGCGCGTGTACGAGGGAAAGGGCGAGAGAGAGAGAGAGAAAGCGAGAGCGCGACGCGCGCGCGCACACACAAGCTAACCTTACTCTCACGCTCGTGGCGCACGAAACCTCCCCCCTCCCCCGCGCTCTCCTAAGTTGTCTCCCGCGTCCCCTCCCCCCCGCCACTACCGCCTCAGCCGTCACCGCACCGCTGCCGCCGTTCCCCCACCACCACTGCCCCCACTACGTAGACCAGCGCGCGACGAATGGAGACGCATAGGCGCGGGCCGCGCGGGAACGGCGAGCACGCTCCCGAGACAGCATGCGCCACTGGCACACGCGCGCAAAAGAGGACCGACGTGCGGTGATATATGTGTGTTGTTGACGTGTCGGGGTCTTTATAATACAAGATCGTCTACGCGCGTGAATTGAAACGCTCGCGAGAGCCTCCTCAGAGAGATGATTCGCGGCGAGAAAACGGAGCGACGTCGCGTGTCTCGCTGAGTCTTTTCATCTTCCTAGAATGCACACATGTTTACGCACTACGCCGCACGCAGCTCGCTCTCTTGCTCTCTCTCTCTTTCTCTCTTTCCTTTCCGAACACTCGCGACCATGGTGGAAACATTACATGGTGAGCTCAAAACTTCGAAACCACGCCCCCTTTTCACGTCGAGGTACCGTTCACTACCTAGGCCTGCCAACTGTGAAAAATTAAATGTTTGATGCTGCTAAGTTACTACGACTGATTTGA